CTCAGAGTAGTGGGTGCTTCCTTTCCCAGAAGGCTCTGTATTCTCAGCATGTGCAGGTCAATTGGACGTAAAGCTACCTACAAGAAGCAGCAGGCCCATTGCAGGCAGTGTTTCTAACTTGAAAATTATGAGCAGGTATTGGGAGCCACAGGCTGTATTTGGGAACCAGCTGCATGTCAGTACAAGCATGGATTGTGGTTCCTGGAGGCTGGGAGAACACAATGCTTGAACTTAATTTCTGTGGGAGATAAGAAGAAAAAAATACCTTTCTACCTGACGAGTTTGACAACTTATTAAATCTGACTATCTTCAGAAGTGTGCTGGAAAGTTGGTAAATAAACATCCACTTTTCAAAGATGATGATCAAGGAAACATCTCTACGAAGGGACCCGGACTTAAGGGGAGAGTTAGCTTTCCTGGCCAGGGGCTGTGATTTTGTTCTCCCGTCTCGGTTTAAGAAGCGGCTGAAGTCATTTCAGCAGACACAGGTTTGAAACTTGGGTGTTTCTTTTAAAATATTTTTATTACTAATAAAACCACCCAGTGAACTAACTTACAAATAATTTTACAGCTCACTTGATATTAGATCAAGGAATTAATCTGTGTCCTCTATTCAGCTATTTGCAGAAAGCTATTTGTAGAGAGATTCCAACAGGTTTAAAAATAGACCTTCTGGACCTGAAGTACAGTACTCACATTTTTCTCTTGTAGAGAGGGAATACAGTTTTAGAGACAATAAATACAACTTAACAAATATTTTACAATTTAGTAGGAAAATAAAAGAATGTTTAACAGAAATATCTTTGAGAAACTAGAATTACTCTGTTAAAAGCCTTATTTGCACTTTGAATCAATAGATTGTGTTTGTATTAACATACATACATCTGTAATGAATGTTTTTTAAAAAATAATATTGATCTCTGAATCTTTTTGAATGAAGAACTATTTTTATATATAGAAAATCATGTGTTTGTGATATAATATATGTAGGTAGTGAAGGATGGCAATTACTTCTGGATTGTGAAAGAATGTCCTCCCTCAGCAAGCTGTGAGATTGAGTCATTTCTGCCTGCGATGACTGCTCGCAGAGTCCATGCTTATTTGCTTACAAATTTAGGGCCAGTGTCTCACCAAACAAGTTGCCTAACACTGAGTACAATACAAGTCAAGGGCCACACAAATGATGGCAATCCAGAATCCAGCAAGAAACCATAGTTTCATTGTTATTCTGACCCAGAGTAATTTCAAATTATTTGGGTGAGCCATATGAAATTGCTTTTTTTAGAAATAGGTCAAAAATGGTCAAATATTGGAAATGCTACAGTGACATAATAGCATAAGGATACTATTCAGACTGAATATCTAAATGATACTGTGTTTATAAGGAAAGACTGAAGTGGAGAATTGAGATACTTTACCCAGCTAATTCTATTTTAATGCTGTTCCTAGATTTGAGTGAAACAGTTTTATTCAAAGTGAGCAGATGCCAAACTTGTCGGTGAATCTGGCAAAATTTATATTATTATGTTTTACTCTATAACGTTTGTAAAGGGTGAGTTTTATGACCTTAAACTACTTTAAGGTTTAAATTATATGTTTCCTATTGAACTCAATGGAAAGTAAATTGAAAAGTTCAAAATAAATGCCTTCTTTTTATTTTCCCTTTAAATATTAACATCGGGCTTCCCTTTAAATATTAACATCGGGCCCGCCTGGTGGCGCAAGCGGTTAATTGCGCGCACTCCGCTGCAGCGGCCTGGGGTTCGCCAGTTCGGATCCTGGGCGCGCACCAACACACTGCTTGGCAAGCCATGCTGTGGCAGCGTCCCATATAAAGTGGAGGAAGATGGGCACAGATGTTAGCCCAGGGCCAGTCTTCCTCAGCCAAAAAAGAGGAGGATTGGCAGATGTTAGCACAGGGCTGATCGCCTCACAAAAAAAAAAAAAAAAAAAAAAAATTAACATCAATTGTATTAAATATAGAATTAATCAATGAATTAATAAATACTGCCTATTAGTGAATTGCTCCATGTTAAGAAATACACTGAGGAAAGTAGACTATCATATAACCAAATATTTTCCCATTCAAGTAAAAACTTTCACAGATAGCCAGAGTTTGTTCTGAATGTCACTTTTTTCTGTCAAAGCAAAATTGTAGAATTAACATTAAAGGCCTCACTCTAAACCTTCTTCAGTAGTGTGTGTTCACTAGTCTATTGGGTTTCATCCCCACTGGCACCAGTGGTCTTAATCCTATGGTTATAACTGCCCTGAAGTTATCCATAACTGCCCTGGATGTCACACCAGGGGAAACAAAAAAAGAATTATGGTGATTGTAGACTTATTGTCTCACAAATTTCTTTCAGCATAGAATAACAGGAAGGAAATGACACTAATATAAATGACCTAGGTAAAGCCCCTGAAGAATTGTATGCCTTATCTTAGAAATTTAAGAACAGTTTCTACTGTTATTGACTCGTAAGCCTATGTAATAATATTTGGAGATTTTGTATTAAGGCAGAGAGAAATGTTTCCTTAGAATAGATTATCACTTTGTTAAATCAAAAGTGGTTGTCAACTTTAAATTGCTTTATAAATGTAAATGATTATTTATTATTGAATCTGAAGGACTGTGCCAAGTTATTTTAATCTAATCTTTTGAGAACCCCCTTTGGCCTTGTGACTCATTTTCTTAAGTAAGGACATATCTGTGCCCAGCCCTATCCTGAACCTTTTACCCACATTGCATCCTGTAATTTCCTTTAATCTTCACGACAACCTTCCAAGAAGTAGGAGTTATGTTTGTTACTGAAATTTTAAAATGTTATTTAAGTTTCCTGAGGTCACAGAGCTAGTAAGCCATCACTATTTTCTGTTAAATTTTTCATATTTCATTGGCATCACTTCCCTCTGTGCCATTTCTTCCTTGACTATTGCTTTATATGGCGATACCCTGATACTGCAGCAAAGGCTTGGTGTGACCAACTGCCTTTCATATCTCCAATAGTATTAGTATATGAGCAGACTCCACTCTATGTGTTAATGTCAGATATTAACATATGAAAAATGGACCGTGTATAACAAAAGGAGGAGATTAAATTATATTCATCAGTTATTTATGTGAATGAAGCTTGTCTTCCTATAATACTCATGCTTTTCAAGGGTAGCTAGGACTTTTATCCTGAATTTGAAGATCGTGTTATAAGCCCATATGTCAAAATGAAATACGATATCCAGATCTACTTCTTACAGGTAAAATATTGTTCAAACTTTAGATATGGCATTAGGATAATTTAAGAAAGAACACTCGAGTAATATTTTATGTTTACAGTAAATTTAAAATAAATTTAGCTAGTGAACAGTCATGTCTATCTTTCATACTTTATGTAGCATCTAATAATATAGTGCCATGCTCATGAGCCTTAATAGATAATTTGGTCAAAATTGAGTAGAAATTAAAACTCTGAAAATCTTCATGGAATCTTTTTTGCTCTTTCTGCTAGGAATCTCAGAACTAAATTTCATCTTCATTGGTAAAATAAACTTCCACCTGAATGTTAGTGTACCTCCCCTCCCCCCTCCGTACATCATGAATAATCTTAATCTCCCCATTGCCCCCCCCCCCTTTTTATACTGTCCTTTCTTAAGTCTCTATGGTACACCACATCAAATCCTTTTTGGAAAAAGGAATGATATAAACTATAAATGAGTTAATAAACTGTAAAGGGAGTTTGACTGTGTTGAAATTAATGACCGTGATTTTTGCCTGTTAGAGTGTACCAAAAATGAGAGAAATGTGTATCTGAAAAAATGGCAAGTCCCTAGTGGCAGGTAGATCAGCCTGGTGGAAGACATTCCAAAACTAAAAATACTTTAATTTTCTTTTCTTTTTTTTTTTTGTGAGGAAGATCAGCCCTGAGCTAACATCCATGCTTGCTAATCCTCCTTTTTTTTTTTTTTTTGCTGAGGAAGACCGGCTCTGAGCTAACATCTACTGCCAATCCTCCTCCTTTTTTTTTTTACCCAAAGCCCCAGTAGATAGTTGTATGTCATAGCTGCACATCCTTCTAGTTGCTGTATGTGGGACGTGGCCTCAGTATGCCCAGAGAAGCAGTGTGTCGGTGCGCACCCAGGATCCGAACCCGGGCTGCCAGTAGCGGAGCACACGCACTTAACCACTAAGCCACGGGGCCGGCCCTGCTTTAATTTTCTTAACAAAGACTTTCTCTGCATCAGGGACTGGCAGTGATTCTGCCTAGACAAAGTCAAACTAGAGAAGAAGGTTAAAGGACAGCATCCCCAGTACATTTTAGATCTATATATTTAAAAAGAGCTCATTCTATCTGCCTGTTGAAGGAGAGCTAGAAATGCACAGAAAGACCAAGAACAGTCTTCAAAAAGAATTTACTAATCTTGGGCCGGCCCCGTGGCTTAGCGGTTGAGTGCGTGCGCTCCGCTGCTGGCGGCCCGGGTTCGGATCCCGGGTGCGCACCGATGCACCACTTCTCCAGCCCTGCTGAGGCCGTGTCCCGCATACAGCAACTAGAAGGATGTGCAGCTATGACATACAACTATCTACTGGGGTTTTGGGGGGGGGAAATAAATAAATAAAATCTTTTAAAAAAAAACAAAAACAAAGAATTTACTAATCCAATTCCAGTAGACTGAGAATACACCTCGAGATCCTTAATGTGTCAGCTGACATTGCTCTTAAATGTCTGCCACATCACTGATGAGAAAATGTACTATAGGATTTTTTAAGCGTAAATCTATGTAAACTCAAGTATTGACAGATAATGAAGGTATTAATTTATTTATTGTGGATAAGCATTCCCTAGAAGCATGCTTACCACCCTCTGGAGTAAAGTGAGCTCTTGAATCTACTGTCTATTCTAATATGGTTTCTTGTATTTATACCCAACTGCCTGTTACTGGTGAGGACTTGCAAGAAATATATACTATTTAGAATTTTTTTTCTCATAATTACATTTTCCTTCCAGATTCAAAATAAACCAGAAAAGAAACCTGGAACACCACTTCCACCTCCAGCCACTTTTCCAAGTAGTCCCCAACCTCTCTCCCCTGTTCCTCATGTGAATAATGTTGTGAATGCACCATTGTCCATAAACATTCCACGGTTCTACTTTCCTGAAGGACTCCCAGATGCCTGCAGTAACCATGAACAGACTCTAAGCAGAATTGAAACTGCTTTCATGGATATTGAAGATCAGAAAGCAGACATTTATGAAATGGGAAAAATTGCAAAGGTAATATAACTACTAAATGATGTCATCTCCCTTTCTCCAGCAATCCCCATCTCCCTCTTTTCACTGCTTCTTTGCTCTCTGTTTTTAAGCATGCATTTTTTTCCATGTTGAAAAAATTTATTTGATCCTAATATATCTTTAGCTATGATCCTATTTCATGCAAGTCTTAAGTTTGAAAAAAACCTTAGTGATCTTGCAGTCCAACCTCCCATTTAATACAGGAATTCCATCCATGACATCACCAACACATAAATTCATTCTCTGCTTCAATGCTTTCAGTGACAGGAACCTCACTACCTTGCCAAGTAGCCTATTCCATCGTTAAATAGCCTTTCTTGTTGGAAAAATTTCCCTTGTGTTCAATATGAATCTTTTTTTATTCTTGCCCGTTGATCATAACTCTTTGCCCTAAAGCTGGACTAGGAACCATTAGGCCAGCTCAACACAGTAGTTCTACTCAGAAATAAATGGATTTGCCACTAGAAAGCAAGTCTTTGATACTTTCCAATATATCCAACTGCTTCTGATTTAAGATCTTAGCCCTTTATGCCAGGACTACTGTAACATCTTCACTAACTGCATTCTATACCTTCAGCCTCCTCCTAGAACAATGTTAATACTGTTAATACTGAGCATGACCCTCAGATCATATTTTGTTATTTATAGTCCCCAGCTCAGCAATATTCAGGGATTCCTACCCTGTGTAGCAGTGCTTGTTTTGTTTGGGTTTTATTTTTATCATGCACGTATATTGAAGAGTCATATCATATCTCACGATTTAGCAGTGGTTTCAGGCTGTGTTTCAAGAGACAGAGGGGTTTAGTAGGCTAAGGGCTGCGTGGGCAAGGAGGATACCAACTGGGAGCTCCCAAGACCCCATGCACACTTGCACTGGGAATGGTTGCCCTGCTTTCAGGAATAATATTTAAAAGTTTGAAAACTGATCCTGAGGCTAAAACCCAAACTACTGTTACCTGTGTGAGCCTGACCCACTTGCCCTCCCACAGGCACCCCTCTGCATTTGAGCTCTCAGAGTTCTCCCCTCCAAAATGGGCTTCCAGTCCTGCCAACTCCAAGTCACCCATCCCTTAAGACCTGCTTCCATCATGTCTTTGGAGAAGTCTCTAAATCCTCATTCCAGTTATGCCCTGTCCTCTGGCCTACCTCTAGCCTCAGAACATTTGTTACTGGTTTAAATAATTTGTAAATAGAGTGATTTTAAGGGACATGAGAAGAAATTGTTTCTTTTATTCCCCCTTTCTTCACCCCCATCGTAGAACTTGCTTGTTGATCCCTTAACAGACTTAAACAAACTCAGAAATCAGAGCTCACCTGTTTCCACTCTATTTTATATATGAGGAAACTGAAGTCTCACAAGTACTTACCTGAAGTCGCAAAACTAGCACGTCAGGAAACAAGTCCTCTAACTCCTAGCATTGTGCTCTTTCTACCATATGTTATCTCCCCTGAACATATGCTAGCATACCATTAGCTAACTTCCAATGAATATCCAACCAAATAAATTATAAGTTCCTTCAGGGCATTGGCGTTTTCTTACTCAAAGCTTTGAAAGATGGCTGTTGTATAAACCAAGATGGTAAATTGTCTGAATAAGCTGGAATGATGAATCTAAGCCCAAAAGATAGAATTTAGCAAGGATGAATGAAATCTGCATTTGGAGGTAACATGTTAACTGCATAAATGCAAAATGGGGTATTTCTAGCATGGCAACAATTGGTGTGAGAGACACAGGAGGTCTCATGGACTGCTTCGGGCAGGCAGGCAAGGAGAGCCTATCCAGGTTAAGGGACATGGTAGTTCCCCGGTGTTGTGCTGGGGTCACACATCTGGAGAGCAGATCCAAGTGATTAGTGCCTCCTGGCAGAGACCTGCAGCCTGCTCTGTCTTGAATACAGGTCCTCTGGGTCGACCTTCCTCCTCTGAATATTCCCAGCCCCTGACTGGGGAGCCTGTTCTCCTCAGCCTTTTCTACCGCTCTGCCTCCACCCTCCTATTCTGGCCCTCCCACCCCTGTATGGTGGTAGCCCTGCCCTGCTTCGTGGTTTAGTGGCGCCCCTAGCATTCAACAGATTCAGGGAGAGGAGAACAGAAAGCCTAAGGACTCCACAGGCGGTCAAGGGAGGTGTAGGAAAGAGTGTAGTCAAGTCAGGGGAGGGGTATCTGCATGCTAGGGAGTCAGAGAAAGGACTTTGCTATTTACAGGCAGTGAGGATCAATCTATATGTGGCATCAGGAAAAACTGCCAGTGTTGAAGCTGACAACATAGAGAAGTTTAAAAAGATAAAAAACTATTTTGTTTAGCCATAGTAACAGTGATTTACGTCACAATATACTGTTTATACCTAATCATCATGTGGCACAATAGCCAGTACAGCCGTCCCTCAGTATCCACGGTTGCTCAAGTCCCTTATATAAAATGGTGTAGCACAGTGAATACCATTGGCTCTTCATATACGCGGGTTTCACATCCTCAGACTCAATTCACTTCCTCCATGTCTGCAAAATTGTGATACCTGGTGGTTGAATCCGTGGGTGCAAACCTGTGGATATGGAGGGCCAACTATACACATATACATATCTGTTAACTTGTCTGAATTATACTTGATTGTAGCCCTAAATCCCATTCACGAATGCCAAGCATTTGTGTTCATTGCTCTTAAACCTTAATTGTCAGCTCAGATAGCAAGGGAAACTGCTCATACCATTAAAAAGTTAAAACTAACGTAGCGTATAAAAATGAGGATGTGTGTATAATGACCTCAGAAGATATATTGGTTTATACTGTTTCATTTTGGATTACTGTATTAGCTCATTTTATTGGATTTTGTCTCTGTATTCTTAAAATCATTTGTTTTAGAAATTAATTTAATCGTGTCTTCCAGCTAGTTAATCCCCATTTAATCTAGCTTTTACTTGGCTATGGCAGTCTGTTAGCACTCACTAAGCCATCCTTATTTTCAGCCATTCTTTACTCTGCAGACAGGTCTTCTCTACCACTAGGCAGTGAGCTCTGTGTCTATAGCACTTGCACTTCATGTGCTTGTATTCTCAGGACAGGTTGGTTATAGGAAAAGGAGAAGACAGACAACCTTTAAGAGACAATGAGGGGAGAGGTGGTCCGAGCAACAAATGACCATTTTTGTGGACTCCTGTAGTTTATAAAGCTATTAGGAAGACCAGCTTGAGTTTGCAACCTACTCTTAGTGATGCTTAAATATAGCTGTTGAGACTGGGATCTGTTTTTTAAGTGCGAAGAAAACTCTCTGTTTATGAAATCTGCATCTTTTGGTGACGTTTAGCTCATTCATCTTTGACCTCAGACAGCCCTGGAGAGATTAATGCCCATTTCTGATTAAATTCTCAGTGTATAGTTTGTATTTTTTTCCACAGCTTTAAGTGATGATGGAGAAGAAATGAATAGAGAATGAGTCTAAGAGGGACAAAAGCAGGGTAGCAACAGAAACTGAGGAGCAGTAGGAAAAGCATTTGTCAGAGACTGGGCCAGAGGATTCACCATGGAGTTTTAGCCTCTAGCAGCAAGTTGAAAAAGAACGGAACTGTCTTCTGAACCACACAAAGCCCCCAGCTCCTCTTATCTGGCTGATGAGGCACCATCTTGACCCATCGTGCCTATGGCCTGCAAGGTAGCCTCTCTGTACCTTTATTTCTTTCTCTGTAGAATGGGATAAAAAATACCTGCCCTCTTCTGCATGGGGATCCTGTGAGGACCAAATGAAATGACAAGCGTGAAATGTTTTAAATGTTAAAAAACATTACAAATATTGAGGATCATCTCTTCCTGAATGTATCATTAGACAGTGTTGCTTTCAGTTCTTCATGTTGTTGGGCCATTCTTAGATCAAATTATTTGCTCCAGTGACTTTGATTACCATACACTAACTCTTGCCTCCTCCTCTAAACCTAAGTTTCCTCAATTCATTTTCTGTATCTCCCTGTACATCCCCACTTGTCATCCATTCTCTCCTTCATAAAAAGTCTTGACACTGGCTTGCTCTCTCCTCTGTTATAAAAGTCTCTATTCTCTTGCCCTCAGATTAATATAGTTTACTTTTTTAGGTTCTTATTCATCTTATGACTCCCTTTATCTAAATTGTTTGTTTTTAAGCAAATGTAGGCCAGCCATATACTTTTTTTAAGTAGCCAGAGTGTAGTATCTGCAGCCCTTGCCATTTACTGCCCTTCCCATTTTTTTCCATTTTCTGCAAGGGCCTGGTACCCTCATGCTGCCTAACAGTTGGCTGCTCAGGGTACCCCACTATGAGAAATATAGATCAATCCTTCCCAGTCTACTTCAAAACATACCCATTCTGTGCCTTATCTCTTAGGATTTTGCCTTTAGGTCATAATAACTTTATAAGTGTAAATGTCTCAGGGACTAACTACTCCTCGCAAGCTGGCATGTATGCATTTTAACAGGAGTCTTCTGGAGAAAAGACCATAATCCAAGGGAATGAACGTTGTTTAATAGTGGCAGTAGCCCCACGGGAGGTGGTAAGCACACAGGCCCTGGAAATGTTTCAGCTGAGGCTGGTGATCACTTCCTGAGGTTGAGCTAGAAGATTCCTGATCCCTTCTAATTCTGAAAAATCCATGAGTGACCATGGGTGGGAGTGCATTTCATACACTTTGGCAAGCCAGTTCCGATCTCTCCCTGTACTTTATCTTTCTGTTTGTGACTCTGCACCCGCACCTCCATAATACAAAATATTCTTTCAGCTTTCCCAGCAGTTGCCAATAGTCTGTCACATTTAAGAGCATTTTCTTGGCAAACCACCATTCTGCATGAAAGAGAGGATTGGGATTGGGCAAAGTGGATTGATAGTTTACCACCCAAAGTATATTAATTGTGAGCTTTGTACCTTGGCAATCATAATTTACACACTAAACAAAATCCGTTTGGTTCCTAAGCAACACCTTTCCCTCATTCTTGACCTCAGTGGAGGTATTTGACCTCTGGACTTAAAAAATCTTAAATTCCACCCTGCTTGCAGAACATGCTTTAGCGGCCCTGGCAGGAGCAGCCTATTTCTGCCCTGTACTTACCTTCCTTCTCTTGAAACTTGCCTTCCATATCCTCTTCTCTGACATGAGCCCAGCAGCCTTGGATGTTCTCTTAGCATGACTAATCTCAGACGAGGTATGCTTCAGGTGTCTGTGGGGATTCCCCCGTCCGCTGCGGTCTCACAACAGGAACAACTTCACCTGAACCTAATGTAGATTCACATCTACTCAAGCTGCAGAGGAGAAACTTTCCTTTAGAGAAAGATGAAGGCTCAACAGATCCTATATCTAGTATGAATAATAAGAATATCTTTATCTCATAACAAGATGTGACTCTTTGAAGAGTTCCAGATTTGGGAATATGTTTTACATGTATATATAAAATTAGGAACATTTGGAGACTATTTCTCTGCTTAATATTTAGATGTTATTATTACTTAGAGGAAAGAATTTTCCCTATAGGAAGAAAGCAGGTAAATTTGGTAAAAACTCTTTCTTATAAGAGTATAAGAATAATTTTTTTTTAAATTGAAAAAAGAGCTTTTTATTGAGAAAAAAGTCATTACCTTTTAGGTTATTGTAGGTGTTTTAGATTCGTTCCCAGTTCTCCCTTTATAAAAAATATGTGATTATTTATGGTAGCTTCTAAAATATAAATAAATGATAGCATTTTGATTTTTACCTTTCATCTTTTACCTGAATTATAATCATTTAAATAGATTTGATGACTATTTTCTTGAATGGTCTAGGTTTTTCTGGTTCTTCTTGAACCTGGGGCTTAGTGACATAATAGGCAAAGGAGAGAGAGGGAGCTAGGTGGTAGAGTGTATTAACACCAAATGACCGAGTGATAACAGTGGCTGTACTTTTCTGCTGTCAGAAGGAAAGGCATACACAACCATGACATTCAGTCATTTCTTTTTCTTTCTAGAAGGCAGAAAATATATGATGTAAGAGTGGTAGGAAGGGAGACTGGTTGCTTTAAGTATCAGGATAGGGAAAAGAAACATCACTGTAATGAACTTGGAGGAAAGGTAAATGGATTTCCCTTTTCTTCATTAAACATGTAATCCTCTATTTTGTTTCCCCTCTGTCTCTCGCTGAATCTGCGCTAGCTGATATATTTGTGTCTGCCCCAGTTTTGCTCCTCTAAGGGCCCTTTTATCCATGGTGGCATGAAGGGTAAAAGCCACAGAGGTCCTTTCTTTGGCCGTGTCATCTCTTCACTGCCCCTTAGCTTACACTGTATTTGTGTTTTATTTGCAGGTCTGTGGCTGTCCTCTCTATTGGAAAGCCCCCATGTTCAGGGCTGCAGGGGGAGAGATGACAGGATTTGTGTCAGCACAGTCGTTCGTTGCCATGTGGAGAAAGTAAGTATGTGAACAGTTACTCTGGGGCTAGGCAAAGAATTGTCTGGTCTTCATGATATACTTTATAAAGGTCACTTATTTTACTCATTTATTAATTTTCCCTTTACCCTTTATTTCAACAAGTAAAATTCAATGATTCACAACCATTTATACTCACACACAAATTCTTTTCATAAGCCATTATCTTATATGTCTCTAATCAGTAAAACAGATCTTCAGAAATACCTCTTTAATAACTATTTGATAGTTTCTTAGTTTTACTCGTTAAATTTGGGTCTTAGGATTTGACTCTTAGAGCAGTGACATAAAAGTAAAGATTCTCCCTTCAGGGGAGCACACCACATGTGTCACATGAAAAATACAGCTTCCATTCTCATAAGATCCAATTTAGAATTATATCTAGTTGACTTATTAAAAACAACTGAATTCTAATAGATTTTAATCATTACTTTTTGAAAGCTCCAGTTAAGGATCACAGGAATTGTACTTTTTATCAAGATACTCCTGGATTTTAACATCCTGACAAGTTTTCTTGAATTCAAACCTGACTTTCTTCTGTCTTTTCTTTTTTTCTCCCTTCTTCTTCTTTAGAAGTTATTTCTTGATATATTTATACATTTTAAGAGAATGTCATAGCTTGCCCCTTCTACCACCTCTTTTAACTGATCAGCCTAGCCTTCTTTACATCTGTTCTTCTCACCTTTTCTAGGCTGGATACCCTTCCTGGTAAACTATTAGGAAATGCTATTTAGGGGCCGGCCCCGTGGCTTAGCGGTTAAGTGCCTGCGCTCCGCTGCTGGCGGCCGGGGTTCGGATCCCAGGCGCGCACTGACGCACCGCTTCTCCGGCCATGCTGAGGCCGTGTCCCACATACAGCAACTAGAAGGATGTGCAGCTATGACATACAACTATCTACTGGGGCTTTGGTGGGGGGGAAATAAATAAGTAAAATCTTACAAAAAAAAAAAAAAGGAAATGCTATTCACCTATTATCATCATCATCATCATTATTATTATTTAAAATCAACATAAAATAGCAGCAGAATTCAGCTTACAGATTTCTTCTGATTTCTTCATGCCACCTAAAAGCCCTTAGTAGTATAATGCTTGAGAACATAGTAGGCGATTAATAAGTGTATTCTTATTTTTAAAAATTTAGCAGCAAGTTGAGTTCACCAAGTTCTTCATGCATTACATTAGAACTAACATGACTAGGATATATAAGACTCTACCAGTTGATGGACTTCTTTTAGAGAAACACACCAAAGCAAAAAGTTACAAATGCTTTGTTTTCCAGGTGGATTTTAGTCATATTACAGGGAATAGTTCTAAGTTGTCCAAATACCAAGGACTAAAAGGGCCCTAGGAGAATCATTTATTGTACACTATTGGGATGACACTGTCAGTGTCACGGTCACCATTTCACCTCTCCTATAGCAAATAGAAAACTGCAGGATAAAATCTGAGAAATGTCTTTTTTTTTTTTAATGTATGGATAAGCAGTCGTTAAGGGAATTTCTTGTAGGCTGGAATCACAAAAAAGCACTAATTAGCCAGGAGTAAACAAGCAAAGGAATTGGCATTTGCCCTTGAGGTGTTTATAATTAGTATTTCTGGTAGCCTAAAATCTGGGGGAAGAAAATAGAAGAAGAAAATGGGCCTGAACAATCGGGAGGTCAACTTGGATTCCCTTTCCCTTCCCTACCAGTGAAGCCAGGACTTCACTGGGTGGTCCAATTGTCTATTATTAATTATTATTATTGTTATTGTCATTTTAAATCAGCATATAACAGTAGCAGAATTCAAGAACTTGAAATGTGTAGATGTTGTAGCTTTCACTCAGCTAGCTTCTTTCACCCTGGTAGGTGCCAGGCCCTGAAAAGGCCTCAACTGGACTGTGAACCAGGGGTAGAAAGATTAGGGATATTGCACGGCTCTTGTCAGAGGTATCTTCAGCCATTGAGTTCAGCATTGTTGGCAAAAACCATCCAACAGTTTGGGAAAGCAGCAAGAAGTGAGTTATGATTGTTTAAGAGAAAGCTTTGAACAAGCTAGGAGATTGAAAAAAAGGAAATAGTCTATTCTATAAAAGATTAGAGACAGGGACAAGAACTGTAACTACTTATAGTCTAAGTTATTTTGAATATTCTAGGACCCTGTGTTTGTGAGCCTGAGGCTGACTATAGGAAAACTAGTATCCAACTTGATTTACCTGCAATTAATTGCATAATATTAAGAAGAGTGAGAGCCAGTTTTTTTGTCTTAAGACTGTGTGTCACTGAGATGGGGTGGGATTTACGTTGGTGGATAGAGCAGCAGCAGCCACAACAGCTGTATTCCTATATTGAGATGAATCATTTTAATTTTATCTCTAGGGAAAAGAGGTTTCTGCAAAAGGCAAAAGGGGAAAAAAAGACATGAAGCACAAGTCTTCATTTTAGGTAACTGCAGGAAACTGATTATGAAGTTATATAGCATGAGCAACTGTCCCTATATTTTTTCATTTAAAAAAAATTCTATGAATAGATAAGCACATGTTTCTATGTTAAAGCTTTATCTTCTGGCCAGATACTAAAATGGTTGGAGTGCCCTCTAGTGGGAGCTCCTCTCTGAGCTCTTAAAATGCCTTTTAAAAGCCGGGGTGCTTTAAAGGAGACCCAAAGTATGGCTATTTGGAGAGACTAAGCAACTAAACTTGATGGTTTGAGTTAACACTGACCCTGAAGAAGGCATGTGTTTATTTTTGTAATTTTTTTAATAAATTGTATCCTTTGTATAACGCAACTTGGGCCCAAGTATGGTATATGTATTAAAACTTTCAAGAACAGGGGCTGGCCCAGTGGCGTAGTGGTTAAGTGCACGTGCTCCACTCTGGTGGTTCGGCTTTCGCAGGTTCGGATCCTGGGCGCACACCGATGCACCGCTTGTCAACCCATGCTGTGGCAGCATCCCATATAAAATAGAGGAAGATGGGCACGGATGTTGGCCCAGAGCCAATCTTCCTCAGCAAAAAGAGGAGGATTGGCATCGGATGTTAGCTCAGGGCTAATCTTGCTCACAAAAAAAAACAAAAACAAAAAAACTTTCAAGTACAAAAAATAATTGGCAGATAATGACACAGAACTAAAACTTGTCAGCATATACCTGCGGATCTGACTTGCTCCAATAATGGGCTTTATATAATCTTGGGGAAAAGTCAAATATAAAAGTCACAGCATAACAGTCACAGCATAACAGGAAATACTTTCCCTCCTGTCCCAGTGCTCATAGGGTGGAGGCTTCCTAGCCCTCCTCCGAGTGGTTTGAGGATGAACCCCTTAACGAGCTCTTGTTCTCCTGCCTCTGTTCCCCCTCCTTTCCCTGCTCTACTGCCCCTTTCTTCTCTGTGCTCTGACATCTGTTTTTCTTACAGTCAGGGCATTTTTAGGGGAAAGACATTGCTCCATAGCTTTTCGTTTGAATTCCTATATTACCAGCTTTGTGGCAGAGCTCCTGACTCAAAGGGAGTCAGCAATATTGCTCCAGCTTTTTTATGCTTTACTTTCTCTTACCTTTTCATGCCAACATGCCATTTGTCCATTAACAAAACAATATTTTGTCTTAAGAGCCCTGGAAGATACCAGTTTAGAATAGCTATGTTTACCTTCTTTCTCTAGCTTTCACGACTTTTATTACCTCCTTTTCTCCTGCCATATAAAGTTCACTAGCCACTAGCATTGGCTGAAAATTGTAATTCACCTTTTCTTTCTATTTCTTGCTTCTGATAGCAATAGGCCGTACCCGATTTGACTTTTCCCTCTCAGAGTATCTCTCGTCTGTCATGTTAGTGCGGTTTTTATTTAGTAGTGCTATCCTTTCTTTATAAACATGCTCCTTTCCAAAGACTTCACCGCCTTTTTGTTGTGATCATCCCACCCATTTTCTGATCCTAAGAGTTGGTTCCCATCAGCATCTATTGCACTAATCTTTTTCTAAAATATATATTTACTTAACTTTGGGGGCCTTGAGCATGCTGAAGAATGATAAGGAGAAAAAGATATAAAGATAATACCATAGCTTTAGTAATCACAAATGAAGGCAGTTAAGTATACATCTGTCAGTCAGATCACAAACATTTTTCGAGAATCTTCTTTGTGAAAGTCACTATGCTGGGTGCTAAGGAAAAAAAGAGCTATAACTGCCTGCCCTTTAGGTGCCAGAGAGATAAAAGAAAGCTAACAATACAATGGTATATATAGTACATATAAATTAAATAATACAAAGATCAGTAAGAAATTTAGTTGTCAGAGAAGGCTTTTTGAAAGAGTTGGGTTATTAGCTGGACCTTAAAGAATAGCCAGCATTCAGATAGCCAAGTTGGGAGGGGTGGTATTCTAGGACAGTACAACAACGTGAGAAATGGCACAGAGGCAAGAAAGCACATGACACACTCAGAGAATAGTGGGTCAGGTCAGCTGCATGGAGTGGAAGTTTCATTTAGCAAAATAGTGAGATAGGTAAGTAGGCAGGCTCCAGCCTAATTACACAGGGCCTTAAATGCCCAGCTTAGGCATTTAGACTTATTCATATAAGTGGTAGAGCGCTACTGAATATTTTTGGAAAAGGGAAATATATATTCAAAGGATGTTTTAGAATGATGAATTGTCTGTGATATAAGGTTGGATGAACACTGAAGCCTGTTATGGCCCTCTTCCCTTCTAGCAGTCTCAACATGAAGTAATAAGACCCTGGACTTGATGGTACAATGGAAATAGAAAGGAAGGAATGGTTGTCTAAAACGTCTTAAGGAAATATTTCTCAGGACTCCAGTGTTTCCATCCTGTATTCTAAACACCTAGTGGTCCAAGCTAGAAACCTGGGAGTCATCATGGGCTTCCTCCTTTCACCCCTCAACACCTATCAACTACCACATCCTTTCTTTTCAACCAAATTTGCCCCTTTCTCTCTGCCTCCACTGCCAGTATCCATGCTCAGGCCCTTGGTTGGATTTTTGCTTGATATTTCTGAAAAACAGCTCTGATTATCTCACTGTCCAAGTTAAAATTCTTCTGTGGAGTAGACTAATGTCCAGACTTCTCGACCTAACTGAAAGGCCCTCCAGGATCTGATCCCACATGCTCATGCCCCTTCTCTGGCCAACTCAGCACTTGTAGTTGCCCAGATATCTCATGCCCTCTCACACAGGCATTTGTACCTCTGACCCTCTTGACCCACAGCACCCTTCTTTCCTACTTCCCCTTTTCAGGGAATCTCACTGGCCCTCCTGTGTCCTTCTGTGACACCCTGTGCTTATTACAGTTCTGTCGTGGCTGTCACACAGGAGTATAATCTTATTGGTATAGCTCTCTCACTAGACTTTAAGCTCCTTACAGGGCACAAAACTGCATCCTCTTTTCTTTGTATCCCAAGTATCTTCAAGGCCAGACACAGTACTTGGCACACAGTTAGCATTCGATAAATGATTAAGGAAGAAAAGCAAGAAAATTTGGAGACTAATTGGATATGGGGAATAAGGAAGAGAAATAAGTTTAAAATAACTTCAAAATTTCAAGCCCAGGTAACTCACTATGGTACCACTATTAACAAAGATAGACATCCATGAAAAGGACTGACTTTAAGAGGAAGATTTTAAATTTGGTTTTCAATATTTTGACTTTACTGTCAAGAGTATAGTATCCAAATGGAAATGTCCAGCAATTAGTTGGATATGAGGAATTCTTGGAGCTCGAAGACTTAACAGGGAATTCATTTTTTTAAATCCTGGTTCTTCAAAGTCTGATTTCAAAAGCCACTATCAGGTTGGCCCTGAATATGTCTGCTAAGCTGGGCAAACAGAAGTTTATGTCTTATGTGGTGCACAGTGGTCCATCTGATGTGTTCCCTCCTGGCTGGTGGGTGGTTCTGGTTCCATGTCCGGTGCTAAACCTAAGTGTATTTTTACCTGCATTAGTTCAGTTGACTCCGTGGTCTCAGCCCCAGAAGCATTCTACAAAAATAATATATCATCTTGTTATTGAGCTTTTATTAAGATGTCCCTTTGACAAAATCAAGAGCATGGAAAAATTCTTTTTTTAATCATTGAAAAGAGAGCACTTGAGGGGCGGCCCTGTGGCTTAGCGGTTAAGTGCGTGCGCTCCGCTGCTGGCGGCCCGGGTTCGGATCCCCGGGGGCACACTGACATACCGCTTCTCTGGCCATGCTGAGGCCGCGTCCCACATACATCAACTAGAAGGATGTGCAGCCATGACATACAACTATCTACTGGGGCTTTGGGGGTAAAAATAAATAAATAAATAAAATCTTCTAAAAAAAAAAAAAAAGAAAAGAGAGCACTTGATGCTTGATCTAAATGGCCTTCGGATCAGACTGAAATTACCAACTATTGATGTTGTGATCATTGTTCACAGTAGACAATCTTCTTAAACAGTTCTTTCTTTTACAGGTTGCTGAATAACCATCATGATGATGCCTCTAAGTTTATCTGTCTTCTAGCAAAGCCCAGCTGTAGCTCTCTAGAGCAGGAGGATTTTATCCCTTTACTTCAGGTAATTGTCACTTCCTTTTTAAAATGGGTTTTATTTCCAGTTTCAGAGGTTTTTAAAATTTTTCAGCTGGCAATATGTCAATTGATACACACAAATCTAGAGGTCAGATTTCTAGAAGAGTAGATTTCAAGCTTGTTTTAGCAACAAAATCCTTTTGTTAAATGAAAATTAACACAGAACCTAAAGTATAAAACAGGGCTACTCTTACTGAAGCAGAAGAGAGGGGCCACTCAGGCTCCCCCTTGCCCACCCACAGCAATCACTGAAGCACGTTTTGAAACCAGGCATTTGGTCTAGTTGGCCTAGTTGCCCTTTGTTAAGGTTAAAAAGAAACAGATTTCCACCACAAAGAGCCCACTTGGGGAGTATTTTTACCTTGGCCTTCTGATGAGAATCAATTACATGCCAGTAGTGGATCTGTGTTCACTATGGCCTTCTTCATAGCTTGACATATTGCTTGTTAATATTCTTAATTTCATGTCTAAATGTTTGGTTTTCCTAAGCAGATCACAAATTCCTTGAAGCTAAAGTCTGCCTTTCATTTCTATTGAATGTACATCATTGTTTTAGTTGTTCCAATAAATCCTTATGAGCTGTTAGTGAGAATGTCTAAAGAAGGACAGAAAAATACATTGACATAGTGGGGGTTTTTTTAAGTTGTATTCAGGGCTGTTATCTTTTTTTTTTTTTTTTAGATTTTTATTGAAATATAACATACACACACAAACCACAAGTGCACCAACCAGTGAATTTTCACAATGTGAGCACATCTGTGTAACTAGCACCCAGATCAAGAAACAAAACATTACCAGTACCCCCAAAGCCCCTCATGCTCCCTCCCAGTCACTGCCACCCTAGGATAACCACTATCCTGACTGCTAATACCATATGACATAGATTTTTAATTATAGTAGCAATTTTCCATGTTTAGAATACAAAGTCTGGTTATGATTTATTTTACGTTCAGGATCTTTGAGCTTGTCTTAATTCACATGATGGCCTTGATTATCCTTAGATTCATCTGCTACATATTTTTCTTTCCCTTAAAAAAGTACTCATGAGAATGAGGATTCTTAATAGTTTTTTACATTTAATCAAGACCATTATACATAATATATCTATCATTACATATTTCTGTTTATGTTTTGTGAAATCGCAAATATTCAATGTTTGAACTACATTGCTAATAAAACACTAGGTTTTAATACCAGTTCTCTGTCTACCTCTCACCCTTACACCCTCGATCCATTCTTGGCCCTACTCTGACTCATAAAAACTGCATCTTTTGGGCCCTATTTGCTGACTAGCTTCTGGTTGGATCTGGCCAATGGATAGCACTGCCAAGAGATGGGAGGGCAGAGAAGTTGGCATTTCTTCCCCACTATCTGCTTCATCACAGTAACTATATCTCTCTATAATACAGTTTCTGCTGGAAAGCCCCTTCTCCACAGTTAATAGTGCCTACTGGGCTCCCATAACGCTATTCCTCCCTTTGTCCCCTCCGTCCTAGCGATCTAGCAGCATCCTTCTGTTGTTTGTCCCTGGTTCCTCGCCATTCTCTTGTTTGTTCCTTTAACCTGCCCTCAACTCTACTCTACATGTGGTCCCTTCATGAAAGGTTCATATGGATGAATTCTTTTTCCTGTGGGGACTCTACCCTGACTTAAGTTTTATCAGAAACTTTAATGAAAGCTTTGACAGGAATATAAATTAAGTCTATAACAAGAGAATTACAAACAACAACAAAACTATAATTATGAGTTGGGGGACATTTATACTTCCTTCCCTTAAATCTAAGGAGAAATTTTATTTTTATTTAAGAAGTGGACTTGTGGAGTCTTCTGGTAAAAGATGACAGACTAAATAGATGCATTCTTCTCCCATTCTTTCCCAAACTCCTCTCAAGTTAAAATATAGAAATTTAAAAGGAATAAACCCATGAAAATGAATGGAATGGTAGAGAGGAACAGAGGAGAAAAAAATCAATGTACAAGAGATTTCAGTATTTCCTGAAGATAGAAAGCAGAAGCAGGCTAAGGAAACCACAGTCCAGAATGAGGGGCTGTGTATGGGCTTCAGTGAGAAGTAAGCTGTATGCAAGTATGAGAAAAGATAAACTAGAAGGAAAGTGACATATTTACCAGTGTAGCTTATTTCAGGAAATACATTCCCGAATGTAAAGTGCAGCCTAGCATTTACTCACAAACTAACAAAAAAAACAATAAAGCATGTTAAGACAAATTCCAATAGAGGAACATCCTAGATTGTGTCTGGCCAGTACTCCTCAAAACTGTCAAGGTCATCAAAAACAAGGAAAGTCTGGGGCCTGTCCAATGACGTAGCAGTTAAGTTCGCGCACTTCGCTTTGGCGGGCCGGGGGTTGGCAGGTTCAGATCCCAGGCGCAAACCTATGCACCTCTTGTCAAGCCATGTTGTGGCAGTGTCCCATATAAAGTAGAGGAAGATGGGCACAGATGTTAGCCCAGGGCCAATTTTCCTCAGCAAAAAAGAGGAGGATTGGCAACAGATGTCAACTCAGGGCTAATCTTACTCAAAAAAAAAAAAACACAAAACAAGGAAAGTCTGAGAAACTGACAGACAAAAGGAAGCATGACAACTAAATGTAATATGGGATCCTGGAACAGAAAAAAGACATTAGGTAAAAACTAAGGAAATGTGAATAAAGTTTGGCCTTTAATAAAGGTAATAATAGTGTTTCACTATTGGCTTATTAATTATAACAAATACTAATATAAGATGTTAATAATGGGAAACGGGATGCAGGGTATATAGGAACTCTCTGTACCATCTTCTAAATTTTTATGTAAATCAAAAACTGTTCTAAAAATAAAGTCTTTTTAAAAAATAATTGCTATATTCAGATAGATTATATAAAAAAAGAAAAGAATGTTATTAAAACAGAACGCTAATACAAGAAAGAGCTATTAGAGTTTTAAAATGTAAGTACCAAAATTAAAAATTTCAACGTAAGGCCTGGAAACTAAAGTTAAGGATATCTCTGGTGCACACATGCACAAATGTGCAAACACACAAGGGAGAGAGAAAGAGAAAGAAAGACAGAGATAGGAGAGACATAGAGAACCAATTCAAGAACTTCAACATCTGACTAACTGGAGTCTGGGGAAGACAGAAGGGAAACAAATGGAGAAAAGGAAATCATCAAAGAAATAATACAGGATAGAGAGAATTGGAGACACTGGAGGGATAGGGTGGGTCCAAAGAGCAGAGTAGGAATCCAGTGGGATTCCTTGGGATTCCTGTTTCCCTCCTTGGGGGAAACACAACATGCCTTTGTAACCAGCGTCTGATCAAAAACAGAACATGACCCTCCCATCCCAGCCTCTCATGATCCCTCCAGTCACTTTCCACAGAATCAAAGAAATGATACAGAATACAAGTCTTCTGGTTGAAAGGAGCCACTGAGTGCCAAGCACAATGAATAAAAAAAAGATGTACATAAATAAGTCCTCTTGAAATTTTAGAACACTGATGAGCAGAAGATTCTAAAAGCTTCCAGAGAGAAGAACCAAGTCACCTTAATAGGAACAAGAATTGGGGTGGTATTAGATTCTCATTGGCAACTCTGAGGAAATGGATTTGAACTCAGATTTCTGTATCCTGCCAAAGTATCAATCGGATATGAGGTTAGAATAAAGACATTTAAAAACTCAAAGTTTATCTCCTATTTTCTTAGAGAGTTACTTGAATATATATACTGCAGCAAATTAAGTAAACCAAGAAGGAGGAATGTATGAGATCCAGGAAACTGGATTCAATCCAGAAAAGCAGTGAAGGGAAGTCTCAGGATGGCAACTGAAGAGCAGCCAGTCCAGAATAGAGAAAGTGGTGGGATTTCTCTGGGAAGGAGTTCTCCATAAAGGGGAACGAGGGAAGGAGCAATTCCAGGCAATAGTTGTTATATTTGAGTACAGGGAAACTGGAGGGTATGATGAAGGCACAGCGTTCTGTATCAACAAATTAAAGAAAAGCAATTAGAAACTCCAAGAGGGAGGCCAGCCCCGTGGCGTAGCGGTTAAGTGCACACACTCCGCTACTGGCAGCCCGGGTTCGGATCCCGGTCGTGTACCGACGCACCGCTCGTCCAGCCATGCTGAGGCGGCATCCCACATACAGCAACTAGAAGGATGTGCAGCTGTGACATACAACTATCTACTGGGGTTTTGGGGAGAAAAAGGGAAAAAAAAGAGGAGGATTGGCAATAGGTGTTAGCTCAGGGCCGATCTTCCTCAGCAAAAAGAAGCAGATTGGCATGGATGTTAGCTCAGGGCTGATCTTCCTCACAAAAAAAAAAAAAGAAGAAGAAGAAACTCCAAGAAAAATTTTAAAACTGTGTAAAAGAGTCATGATCTAAACATGAAGCAAACTAAAATATGGCATGATATAAACAACTGATGGAGAGTGAGAAAAGAAAGTCCATTTAACGTCAATGCCTAGAACATTCTCCTTTGAATGCCCCAAGAGAAATGATGTTGGACCAATAAGAAATGAAATGCATTCCTTGTATACCACTTAACCTAGCATTCAACAGTATTTATATTGTCAAAATATTGTAAAATATTTTAATGTATAACGTCTGAAATGACCCTATGGATAAACTGTAGAAAATTTTATTGTGGTTGTAGAACATTATTTAAACAACCTGAACAATGTAAAAGTCAAAATACTGCCAACAAAATGTGAAGGGGCAAAAAGAGGGAGAAGAAGAGAGAATAAGAGTAGGGGTGCTGTTATCATCATCCTATGTAAAGGGAAATTAAGACACTAAGATGAATGGAGTGAGAATTAAATGTTTAAATATATTATTTGCAGTTTACAAAGATAACCAATACAAGAACTAAAAATCATACCTCAGCAGATGATATGATTTTATATATAGAAAACCCTAAAGAATCTACCAAGAACCTTTTAGAAATGATAAATGAATACAGTAAAGTTGCAGGATATAAAATCAACATACA